GATAGATAGATAGATAGATAGATAGATAGATAGATAGATAGATAGATGTAGTAACTCTAGTGGTGCGGAGGACATTATTCTATAGCTATTTTAAATGAGTATGTGCAATTGATAGCATGTGTCCAGATTATTTTTCTCTGTAACACATGCTTGCATGCCACTCTACTATTCCCTCTGAGTGAATAAGCTGCAATCAGTGACCCACATCTCAGTGCTATGAACTGCTTAACTCAGACTGTTGTTTTATTCAGTGCCCTCACTGTCAACAAACGGGTGAGGAGGAGGGTGAAGGGTGGGACCTTACGCTCACGAACTAACGCCATTGGCCCAGAGACGAGGCTCCTCTTCCTATTGGCCGGCCGCGCTGTCACTCCGGATCTTCTATCGCTGCTTCCCGCGCCATTCGGCGTGCACGCGCAAGGAAATCAGGCACGTAACCGTTGGGCGACTGTCTGGAGTCTGTCTGAAATTGATAAATTTGCAAATGGAGTTTTTACACGGCTCTGCGCATTTACAAGGAAGCCGCCTGCTGGGAAGTGGAATCTTTGCTCTTATCCGCAGACGCCTTCGCCCACGAGTCGCCACGCTCAGTCGAAATATATATAAAGATATATTTCCTAGATTAACGGTGTGAAAGTTTTTTCTCCTGCAGTCCATCAGCAGACAGCTCTTTATGCACAGGTAGGCAAGACAAGCGCCGGAGTGCAAACCGCCTAACATACCGCAGACACAGCTGCATCACACCGTTCTGCTTTAAAGCTGCTTATTTGTTAGACGTTAGCTGCGTCTTATTAAACCCAATTTCCTCGTGTTTGAATTGTTCCGTTTTTAGGAGCCAGCTGTGAGTCGCTCGACTCGTTTCACGTTTTGAAAATGATTCCCATTGTGTTTGACTGGGGTGTTCCTTTGTAACACATTTGGCTAATTTGTTGTGAGGACCTGACCTCATTCTCAATACTTCAGGAAGATACGCAGGTGACGCTGTTCTGCTGACGCCAGGTATTCCATTAACCCCGCGCGCGCGGGTGCTATCTGTTCACTCAGCAGACACCTGAGGGAGAAAGCCTTAATTGGAGCATCACTTGTTC